TTGAACAAAAAGTAACGCCGTCAGGGGGATTTGTAACGGCGTTAACGTAGCAGGGAGAGTGTGCATGCAAAAGTATATTACAAGGGGTATGGCGCAATTTTTAAAATACAGGGGGAAAACGCGCAAATTTAGTATATTACAGGGGGGTTTGGTGCAATTTACCCTTCATTTAATTAGAGCATGAGTGCTGCTAAATCCCACATCGGTCATTTTGAATTAATAATTACCTTTATAAACTGAGAGCAGCGCAAGTCAGTTCGCCGAGCTCAGTAACGTGGGCTTGTAACCCAAGTGGGGGCTTTAAAGTGATTGGACGGTTGGGCCTGCTCATTAGTTGGGCCTGCGGATTGCCCATGCAGGCCTGCCTGTTACAAGTGGGGAGCTGGGTCATGAGGTTTAATCGAAGGTTTGGGCCTCGTGTTCCTTAGAGCGGAGGGCATAGCGTCAGGCTGGTTTCACAGAGCAACGAACACCTCCCGCTCTCTACAGTGGAAAGATAAGGGCTTGCTCAAACAGAACAGTCACTTTTTGCTCCTTCCAGGCCCCATTAAAAAAGTTTTTGCTCCCCCCAAGCTTAAACCCAATTGAACAAAATTACTTTTCGATAGAATTTTTTATTTTCTTCTTCTCTTTTATCTCGTAAATATTATTTTCTCTTATTTTTAAATCTCGTTTTGAGAAGTTGCACAGTAATTAAAAATATTTTTTACCAATAATAACTCAGATAGAGATTAATATTTTGAGAAAATATAAAGAGTAAACATGAAAGGAAGCAGTGTATCCCCCAAGCCCACATTAAACCCAATTGAACAAAATTACTTTTCGATAGAATTTTTTATTTTCTTCTTCTCCTTTATCCCGTAAATATTATTTTCTCCTATTTTTAATAAATCTCGTTTTGAGAAGTTACACAGTAATTAAGAATATTTTTTTGCCAATAATAACCCAGATAGAGATAAATATTTTGAGAAAATATGAAGAGTAAACATAAAAAGATGCACTGTATTTATTAATTAGGTCAGTGTAATAATGAAAAAATATGTATAAAAGGTCCAAAACGACATTTATTTAGTCAATAGTTAAAAAAGCCAAAAAAACATTTAAAATAATTAGGAGGTAGTATTTAATTAATTGTTTAGTTCTCTAGGTAAGGTAAACTATAAATTTAGTCGTGGGAATTGAATCCATTTTTTCTAATTGCTTTTCTAAGAAAACATGAAAATTCAATCTGTATACAAAATTGTTGCCAACCACAACAATGCAGATAATTAATAAATGGAAAATATTTTATTTGTTAAATAATTATTTTTAATTTCCAACTGAAATAACACCACTTTTCTTTTCTGGTCGTTTTTTTTTTTCCTGGTCGTATATTGTTTGGCACACGTCATTATTTGTTGTTTCTTCAAATGCACTCTGAAAAATATATAGTGGAATGAAATGAAAAAAAAACAATAAAAAAATAGAATTTTATATAAGTCATAATTGTTTGTATTTAATTGAAAGAATAAGAAGCGAAAAAAGTGTTTTAATTCAGAAGTACGTTGATACTATATAAGTCGTAATTGTTTATGTGTAATATATAGTATTATCATAATTTTTTTCTTATTGATGAATAAATACTAATTCACGATTGTTTAAGATATTTTGGATTTTGGAACATTTGAAAGGGTAGTTCCGGCCAAGTGGAAATTTATACGAAGTATATATGAAGTAAACAATCACGCCAAAAGAATTAAAACCGCGACCACTATTAGAACCGAAATCAAACGATGACGAATCAACCATGAATGAATTAAAACCGCGACCACTATTAGAACCGAAATCAGACGATCACGAATCAACCATGAATTTGTGACTGAACGAATCAGATTATTTTTTTCCTTTAGCCACAATGCCGCAGTGACAATCTGAATTGCTATTATAGACTCTTGCTGAGTTTAGTGGTATATAGCAATTAAATATTGCTCTTGATTCAATCACAATTGAATTGCGTGAATAGCACTTGATTAAATCATAGTGAACAACACTTGAGTCGCGTGGTAAATAAATGGCAACAATTGATTCAATCACAGTGGTACATTGCAATTAATTTTTGCTCTTAAACAGTCGCAATGCGTGAACAATTAAATAAATCGCAGAACTTGGCTGGACGTGAAAGAAGGCCGAATCGAGTAGCGGCTGAACGTGGACGGCAACCCTTGACGTGGACACGATGAGATTGGAACACGTGCAACACTCGTTTGACGGGATGCAACCGAACAGAAAAAGAATAGCAATTGATCGTGAGGATTATGCAATCAAGTTGGACATTAAAAATTATATTGCGATCGTATGGCTCTGATACCATGATACGAGAGAGACGCGACACGATTTGAATTTGAGATAAATATCATCTCAATCGATACAACTGTCTATTATGCCACAGTTGCCTAATAATAACCTAAGGCTAATAAAATCTACACAATAATAGGTTCATTCAAAATCATTCAAATTGATCATCAATTACATTTCAAAATATGATCCAAACAACAACGATAAATCTCCTGAAAATTTTAGCTACATACCAACAAAGTTGTAGTATTTTTATATTTTTATACCATTTTAATGCAACAAATAAAAAAATTACTCTAAAAAAAATAAAATCCCACAATTAGATCTCCTACAAAGTACAAACAACAAGATTGCAAAAAGCCAAAAAAAAAAAAAAAAAAAAAAAAAAAAGGTACTAATAATAAATAAATAATATAAAAATACATAAATTATTCACCATAGCCACAAGTGGCTAACAACACGGAAGAGGTTAATAAAGGGCCAAAAAAAGCAAAAGATAAAAAAACAAAAAATTAAGCCGAAAAAAAAAAAAAAAAAAA